ATAAGCCGATTTACCGTAAATTAAGCAGATAATTAGACACGATTTTCAGGAAATGAATCGATTTTTCAGTACTGTTAAAGTAATCAAAGGGAACATGTGTAAGGGCAGGTCCGAGGTGCTCAACCTCGAACGTATAATAGTAATTATTTTGCAACTAAAAGTAAAGAATAAATCCAGAGCTTTTCGCTTGAATAGTAGCATAACAGTTACGATGGACATCCTTACATCAAATCCTGAAGATCTTGCTTGGTTCAATCTTTGGGTTTCAAAATAACTGCTTGGAGATACGCATCAAATCCCGAAATAACTGCTTGGAGATACACATCAGATCTCGAATATCTTGCTTGGCATGGCACGTGGTTTCTTCATGGGAACATATAAATACCCCTCAAGGGCCACGCCAAAAGGTAACAAAAACTAACCCTAAGCTCCTTGTTTTTCCGCTTCAAAGGTAGCCCCGATTATTGCTGACTTAAGCATCGGAATGTCTACCCCGAGGATCCACCTTGGGGCTTTGCAGGTCAATCCAGAGTGCAGATACGGACTGAAGAGGGACTTCTGGTTTGGTGCAGTTACATTTTGGCGCCGTCTGTGGGAATCTGAACTATAGGCTCCCTTGTTGCTCTTATCATGGTTAAAACTAGGTCAGCCCGAGGTGGAAACTCGTCTCAGCCTCTTGGACGAGGTCAGGTCCCTAGTAACCTTTCGCCTCATCCCCCACCCCCAATCCCAAATACGTTCCCTCATGTTGATCATGCAGAAGGAGAAGACGAAAATCAACCACACAATTCGGTTCACAACTCAGCCTCTACTGCTAACCAAGGCGTAGTTGCAACTCAGCTCGCTGCCATGCAACAGCAGTTTGGTGTCTTTCAGTTAGTACTGGCACAGCTATTAGCTTGGAATAATCCTGGTGATCCACTCATCAACCTGCTTAATCCTGCTCCACAACCTCCAGCCCCACCACAAATCCTGAACCAGTTCAACATGCTTCGGCCATTAGTGAATCTCAGGGCCAATCTCACTTTACGCCAGTTCAGCAACCCCTTCATGGTGATGTCACTCGACGTCTCGATAGCTTAGAAAAGCTAGTGGTTGAACAGCGAGGTGCCCCACCCCCACACCCTGCTGCTGATTCCGTGCCCCACTCTCTCAACACCAATATTATACTGGAACCCTATCCCGCTGGCTTCAAAATACCACAGCTTGAAACTTATGATGAGACGAAGGACCCCAATGATCATCTACATGCTTTCTACTCTTGCATGCAGGCCCAGAACGCCTCTAATGCGTTGATGTGCAAAATCTTTCCTTCTACCCTCTGAGGTAACGCTTGAACCTGGTACTACAGTTTGCCTCCGAGGTCAATCAACTCTTACACAGAGCTGGCATCTGCTTTTGCCACAAAGTTTTCTAGTAGAAGGTTGATCAGGAAAACCACTTCCGAGTTGATGCGAGTTAAGCAGAGGGACGGAGAGTCTTTGAAAAATTTTATGAGCAGATTCAATGATGCAGTGCTAGAGGTTAACTCTTTCGACCAAGCTGTGGGAATTACAGCCGTGATCTCAGGTCTTAGCCATGAGAGATTCCGAGATAGTTTGCTCAAACATCCTGCCAACACCTTCAGCGAGGTAAATGATAGATCATTGAAATTCATAACTGCTGAAGAATATGCCCTGTCGCAGAGTATAACTCCTATTAAGAACCAACACCCGGACTGGAGAGATGAGAATCCGAACAGGAAACGGATGAAGACAACACAGAACCGAGGTCCGATGTCGGCTTCCACCCTGAGACTCGGAAGGCCGAACTCCGCACCTCCGCAACAATCTGCAGGTAAACCTCTAGTTAATTGGACTTCTTTTAATTTACCGAGGTCACAAATCTTTATGCAGATTAAGAATAAGATGGACTTAATACGTCCGGGTCCAATGAGAACTGTTGCTGCTACCAGAGACCATACCAGGTATTGTGATTTTCATCAAGATCACGGTCATACAACCGAACAATGCCATAGTCTGAGGTCCGAGCTGGAAAGTTTGGTGCAGAAAGGAATGTTAAATGAGTACATCCAGAGAGTTGAACAGCCACGGTTTGTTAGGGAACAAGGGACACAGCATCAAGGAGTCCGCAATCCCCCAAACATGCAAGGTGTGGGATATCAGCAGGCCCCACCCCCACTCCCACCACCAGCTAGAGTCATACACATGATTACGGGAGGTCTGGAGGCCGGTGGACTGAGCTCTAAGCAGCGAAAGCTGTATGTCAGAGAGGTTAAGCACCAGAACCGAGCTCAAAAGCGAAAATTTGACGATGCTGAGTGGAAGAATCAACCCATCACTTTCACATCTACTGATCTCGAAATAGTCGCTACACCTCACAATGATCCTCTAGTCACTTCTGTCACGATCAACAATTGTGAAGTGTAGCGTGTCCTTGTTGACACAGGGGGTGCACCAGACATCATGTACTTCTATTGTTTTGAGAGTCTTGGGTTAGATCCAGCTTTGTTACAGCGGTATGATGGTCCCATCTACGGGTTCAACAACCAACCAGTTCCAGTTGAAGGAGTCCTCACCAAGAATGTTGCATTTGGAAGTGGCCGCAGTTATGTGACCCCTTCAGTCAGGTTTCTGGTAGTCAAGATGGCATCCTCATTCAATGTCGTCATTGGTCGACCCACACTGACTGAAATCCGAGCTGTGGTTTCCCAATCTCATCTATGCATGAAGTTCCCAACTCTTACGGGAATAGCAACGCTGCGAGGCAACCAGGAGGTGGCCCGGCATTGCTATATCACCTCGGTAACACAACCTCAGAAGGGCAAGGCTCAGACACCCGAGATTAATCACAAACAGATTCCTGATGATCGGCAAGTTATGGGTGTTGAAATAGTAGATAACCGACCAGAAGATGAAACCAGAGCTGCTCCAGTTGAAGATGTGGAGGACGTACAGATTGATGATAGAGATCCGAGCCGGAAAACGCAAATTGGGACTAAATGGAACCCGTAGGAAAGAGTAGAGCTAATAGCTTTTCTTCGGGCCAATAAAGATGTTTTTGCATGGACTTCAGCAGATATGCCGAGAATTCCCACGTCAGTTTTTCAGCATAAACTCAGCACCAATCCCCTCAAGAAACCAGTAGCCCAGAAGCGACGCCTCTTCGGGGGGGAGAGGTTAAAGGTTATTAAAGAAGAAGTCGAGAAACTCCTACAAGCCGGCTTTGTCAGGAGGGTAGATTATTGTGAGTGGGTTGCCAATCCGGTGTTGGTGAAAAAAGCAAACGGTAAATGGCGGATGTGCATTAATTACACTAACCTCAATGATGCATGTCCAAAGGATTGTTATCCAATGCCAAACATCGATAAGCTGGTTGAGGCAACTTCAGGGAATGAGAGATTAAGTCTCTTGGATGCATACTTAGGCTACCACTAGGTCCCAATGGCTCCTGAGGATAAAGAAAAAACCTCGTTCTATGCTGGCGATGAGATCTATTGCTATGTAATGATGCCCTTCGGCTTGAAGAATGCAGGTGCCACTTACCAGAAGATGGTTACCATCGTATTCCAAGCTCAGATAGGACGGAATCTGGAAGTTTATGTTGACGATATAATGGTAAAGAGTTTGAAAGCTGACGATCACTTAACCGACATTGAGGAAACATTCAACAATCTCAGACAGAATAGAATGAGGTTAAACCCAGCTAAATGCATCTTTGGTGTGGA